GTTTTCATGCTATTAACATAGATGATACTTAATTGCTTTCCCTTTGTTTTACTATTCCTTTTTTCCCCTGAAAGTTCAAGGTCTTTACTTTTATCTCTTCAATGAATAGGAATTGGAGTTTTTAGATTTTGAAGGAGCTAGAGTTTATCCTCGTAACATTGTCCATAGTCTCCATCCTGAGAAAGATATTGTATTTGGATGTTCTTTCTCTACAAATTCAAAATAAATTCAGTTTTGTGAAAATAACTCATTTTATTAGCAAACCCTTAAATTGATGATGCCTTAACACGTGTATGTTTTCAACAACTAATCAAGCTGATCTTAAATAACACTTAAATTACATAAAGTGGCACATTTGGTTCAATACAACCAATAAATAATTTAACCTTAAGGCTTGATTACGAGAACTCCCTCCTCATTGGCCTTCCCAACTCTTCCCTTCACAAGCTGCAGATCATCCAAAACTATGCAGCTCGTGTACTCTCGCTCACCAGGCTCCATGGCCCCATCACTCCCACCCTCGCCCGACTCCACTGGCTCCCCATCCCCCAGAGGATCGAGTTCAAGATCTTCGTCCTCACCTTTAAGGCCATCCATGGCCTTGCCCCCTCCTACCTCTCTGACCTGCTGACTCCCTACCAACCTGCCCACTCGCTCCATTCATCAGGCTCCGGACTGCTCCATGTCTCCCGCCTGACCTGCCCTACCATCGGTGGCCGGGCTTTCAGCCTCTCTGCCCCCACACTCTGGAACTCCATCCCACGGTCCCCTCACCTCGCTTCCTCCCTTGCCTCCTTCAAGGCCGGTCTCAAGACCCTTCTCTTCGACCGTGCCTTTGGTCTCCCTCTACCTCTCTGCCTTCCCTCACTCCTACACCACCCCTCCACCATACTACTCGGGCCCAGACATCTGACTGTTCAGCGCTTTGGGACATCCTCCCGATGTGAAAGGCGCTCTATAAATGTAATGTTGTTGTTGTATTTCTGGCATATTACATAGATTATTTGATACATAAACTTATTTCTGAGAAGAATTTTTTTTTCAGAATGTCCCATATTTTGTCATACTTGCTTCTCCAACCAGGACAATATGAACCTTTGGTAACTGCGTGACTACCATTCTTATTCTGTAGAATAAAATGTACTTATAACAGAGCATGTCTGGCTTTGTTCATACCTGTACTCTGAAATGTAACATTCTGTTTCCATGAAACTCATGTCCTGAAAAATAATTCTGCTTTATGAAACTTTAAGAGCTGAACAGCAGCAAGCCCTTGGCAGCAATGTAGCTTTTACCAGCCGTTGTGAGCAGTATTTGGTAGATGTATGTGTCCTAATAACTATACATGTCAATTTCGTATTAAAAATTGAGCAAGATCAATCTAAAAATTAGTCAAGTCAAAAATAATTGTTCCTCTTTTTATAGTTTATGGTTCTACTTTTTGGCTAAATTGTGAATAGTCAGTGGATTACATTTTACTCCAATTGCACTCAGGACAAAAGCAGAAGAGCTTGGAGTAGGCACAAGCAAATCACACTGATGCTCCGTCCCCATGTCTTTTAGCTGGCAGTTTTCTCTCCTTGTTTGTGAAATCATTCCTCAGAATAAACAGGATGGTTGTTTCCCCAGGAGGGACGATTCAGAATACATAAACAAGACGTAAGAGCTGCCATGCATCCCAATTATAAACATTCTTTTACTTAAGATAGTTAATCTTTTTGCAAATGACTGGTGTTGCTCCTTGGAGTTCAGTAACAGTCTAATGATCATAGGCAGAGTAACAGCTGGAAGGGAAAGAACTGTTTACCTGTAAACACTATAGTGCTCTATTTTACCATCTGTTCCAGGGGCATTCTTAGCACGTTTCAAGCTCACTGATTGCAAGATATGAATTGCAACCTGCTACTTTACATTTTTATATACTTCACTATAATTAAAATTTTCTTTGTGACTTATGAACAATATTACATTTTGATTTAAAGTTGTAATTAGATTCTTAAGTGAAAACAGTATTAGCTGAGGTCATTCACAATAGGAACATAATGGTAAGAAATTCATGTTAACCTTTTAGTCCTGACTGCGTTATTCAGGCTAACACCTTCTGTTAGAGCAGCGATGAGAATGTTTCTGTAAATATCTTTATTTTATTTGCAGAGATATTTGGGAGTTTAAAATAAAAATCTATGGACATTGAAACTAAATTACAATTAGTTTCAATGCATTAGTTACATAGTTTAGTATTGTAATATTGCATAACAACGTGGATTCTTCTGTAAAATTAAAGGATTTATCACCAGGATGGTCCAAGTATGAATTTTGTGCTCTCTGATACTATATACAAATTATTTTAATCTTTATTTTTAAAAATGATGTCTCTTTCATTTCCCCTCCACACCATCCATTTTTTTCTCATGGTCTGATCTCACCCAAATACCTTTTGCAGTTAAGGATGGCAACATGATTCCTAACCTGTTCGTTGGCACTGATCCAATCGTGTGTGACTAAGCCCGGTAATGGCTCTTGCTCTAGGAATCCATCTTCTCAAAGAAGTGCTTCTTGTTGCTCACAAGTTTTACAGTCTTAAAGCATAGAATTGGAAACATCTTTGACCAGACAAACTGTACAACATTTTATTTCATTTTGTTCTCAACAATCAATATCAAAAGCATGTTCTATTTTTTGGATGTTTCTGAAATTGCTCTTCAGTATTCAACATGTTCATGGCAACTCCGGCTCAAGATTCATTTACTCTGAAATCTGCAGTTAATAGCAAAATCCTGAAATCCTATGCTGTAAACTTTCTATTCAACTGCAACAGTTGGACAGAGACTTGAGGAGTGGATTTTGGACTGCCTTGAATCATTCGGGAACCATAAGATGTCAGTAAAGCAGCTTTGTAGGGCACGAGGAAGTCTGAGAGTAACTACACTGTCCTGGGAAAATTGCTTCCAACTGACATTTGAAACAAAATAAAATCTTCAAGTCTTTCAACTTTTTAATTTTTTTTCCTTGGAGATCTGGTAGATCATGCATGCATAGTATCTGTCTGGGTGGGTGTGTGCAGGGAGGGAGTGAGACGAAGGAAGAATCTATTTGTTTCCCATAGACTGAGTTTTTGTGTTGCTGAACAATTGAAAGCAGTCCTCCTAAACGCTGGTCATTCCATTTGCAAGAACATTTATATTTGAACAGGTCTGTATAAGCTGCACCAACAGTGACATGCCTGATAGGTGAGGATTACCATTGTGACTTTGAAAATAACATAAGTCTGACCCTGTTTTTACCACTAGAGCTGGCTGTGAAATCAGTAGCAACCTAACAACCACGTCTGTTACGACTGACTTGAATTTTTTCACAGGCCTGTTATAATATGGCGTCTAATTTTTTGGATCCGAAATGCCACATGTAATGGGGATGTTCTGTATATGCAATCCATATATGGTGATATGGCAATTTACATTGATTTACAACTGCACGTGTACAGATCAGATCACTGAAGAACTGTCCAGACAAGACAATTATAAAACTGTTCAAGGCATATTGACATGTGATTGAATAGACTTGGAACATATGGGTGATTACAATAACGGTGCTATGGATTGCTGTAAGAAAATATGCAGATATCTCAGTAACCTTCAAATCATGTGATGTGGAGTCCTGTAGCTCAGTGGTTAGAGCACTCGCTTTGCAAGCGAGAGACCTGAGTTCAATTCCAGGCAGAGGGCGAAACCTTGGGCAAGTTTCCTTACTCCACACAGAGCCTAATAATAATCCCTCCAAAAACCAAAAACAATAATAAATTGGTCATTTTCAATATATGACTGTTTGTGGGACATTGCTGTGCACAATTGGCTGCCACGTTCGCCCACAAATATACAGTCAATTCACTTTGCAGTGTGTTCTGTGAAGCGCTTTGGGACGTCCTCCTGACGTGAAAAGCGCTATATCAAATGCAAGGATTATTATTATTATTATTATTACCGGTTGATTCATCATTCTAAAGAGTCTTCTGGTGAAACCTCAGCATTTCTATTTGAAATTCCTGTCATTTCAAGGTTTAATTCTGTAAGTGGGAAGAACATATGACATTGTCGTTTTCTAGACATGATGATTTTGTATGAATGCACAGTGAGTCCAAATATTTTCACGTTGTTTTCTGTTCAGCAATGCCTCTAGCGAAAACGGGAGCTCACTGCGTCTAAAATTGGAGGCGTGAACCGAGATTCCTATACAGCAACAGATTAAAATACAACATGCTTATGCCTTCCTTCATGCCTTTGCAACTGATTTCCAGCAAAAATTTAATGAAAATTACATTGAAGGGTAATACAAATGTACAAGAAAAAATCTCCCAACAAAAACTCTCCTTCCGTTATTTTGTTAATCAAGTCATTGGCATTGTTTTACACCTTCACAGTATCAATGTAAACCTACATGCTACTCATGTTTGTGAATGGGTGGGTCTAATTTTCTACACAGATATGTGATATTTATGTACTTAAAATAGTATGTTTTCTTGTTTATGATATGATTAACAGTGTAAATTTATCTTGACATCATCACATTTGATATTTATATTACCAGTAATTTATTTCTAAACAGCAAAAGTACTAAGCAAATATCAGGGATTACAAGTTCTATTTTCATATTAGTAGATCTCATACCATATTCTAGGGTTGTAATTTCAGCTGTTGAACTGCACTGGAAATAAAAAAAATGAAATATTACACTTAATTTCATTTAAATGGAAATGGAGCAGTTGTAAAGCTGAACGAATAGAATTATGACATCTCTGTAATTTACATGGTGATGTCAGCCTTTTTTTCCATGTTTTTTGCACATCTTTAAATGTCAAAGATTTTATATCCAGTGATTTGGGAAAACGATCGAGAATATTATAAACCCATTTTGTTCGGTTGGAAACTGCCTGTAATAGGTGACGGTATCCTTGTCAAACTACTGAGGTAGTTTTTTTTCCATTAAGTTCTGTTCTTGTTCAGTTTCAGACCAGAACCTCAAGAGCAGTTTACTTGCCATGGAGCAGCAAATTCAGCGCCTTGAAAATGACATCAAGAAGTTTTCCCACACAGAAGACGAACATGATAAGTTTGTGGAAAAGATGTCCATATCCTTTTTTTGATTAATCACGTTATATGTTGGGATGAATGTTTGAAATGTTTAGTGATATAATAACATTGGCCCATATAACTATTCCATGCCATTCAATGCCCTTTTGTGATAACGTGATACGAAAAATGGTATTTGATAAAGATAAAATAATAGTGGTGGACGCTGCAATGCATGGATGGATTTTAATGTATGCTTAGCTTAATTATTACATTCTAAAAGTATTTCTGTGCTGATGACCAGTTTAGATTTCATGGACATGGGTGAAATATCAAATTGGTTTGTAGCTTTGGATTACAGGGATTGTTTCATTGCAAAGACTTACATCAAACTATGACTGCATATCATTTTTTTTAAATTTATGAAGGAAATTGATGACTCTTACAGTTATTGACCTCTGATTAAGAGCTACTTGTGTTAATTGACTTTTATACCTTGTTTTTCATTCCCAAAATGCTATATTCATCAAACGTAAGAGCCACTAGTTTTTTTATAAAAAAGACAAAAGGAAATGTACAATTCCAAAGAAGAAACAATTGATGCGCTGCTACTGCAACAGATTTGTGGTGTACAGAATATGAAAAATGAAATGTGGATATATGTAAAATGCTGTTGATACTGGAAAAATGGCATGTATTTTCTTTTAATTACACTGCTTCATGTTGCATCAATGCAGTGGAATTATGCAGTACAATACAAAATTACATGTGTATTAGCACCTTTCACCCTTGGAGGCTTCCCAATGCTGTGGATAGTCACTGGGCTTCACAGTAAAATCCTGTGAAGCACTATTATCAAATGCAAGGATTATTGTAAATTACACAATGAATTTACTAATCTTTTTAAGAATTCTGCTATTTTTCACAATTGTGAAAATATCAATCAATACAATAGCTCTGTAATGTCATTAAAAACGCCTCAAAACACTGCATAGGTTAATGTCAAGTATTGTGATTGAACCTGTTGCCAAACATTACAGACAATTTGTGAATCGCAAGCAACCATGAATTGGATTATTGAGGATTGAAGATTGTTGGCCAGGACACTGAGAAGCTCCTTTCTTTTTTAGAATAGTGCAAAGGGATCTTTAATTCAGCATTCCCCAACAAAGCACTAGTGTGTCACTAGCTCACACCAAGAGCTCCAAGTTCTGACATGGGACCAGATTCCTAACTTTCTGATCTAGAGGGTAGAATGCCACGAATGAGCCAAGCCAACACCATGATAGTGGTTAGGGTGGGATTGTGTACGTCCATGTTTGGCGAGAGGCAATCATCTAATTTACTCGTGGATGCTTGGTTATTCTTGATGTGGAGTCCTGTAGCTCAGTGTTAGAGCACTCGCCTCGCGAGGTGAGAGGACCTGGGTTGGATTCCCAGCTGGGCGAAATATTGGGTAAGTTTCCTTGCTCCACACGCCTCTGTTTACCTAGCAATAAGTAGAAACCCGGTTGTTAGTTAATTGGCGGATCACTTTTCCGGGGGAAATAATTCCTTCAAAAAAGAAATCGATTGGTCACTAAATCGATGACTATTTGTGGGACACTGCTGTGCACAATTGGCTGTTGCATTTCACCCGCAAAATATACAGCCAATTCATTTTATAGTATATTCTGTGAAGCACTTTGAGACTCTCAATAACATGATAAGGCGCTATATCAAATGCAAGGCTTATTATTATACATAGGTAGCAAGAGATTAGTATACCATAGCACAATGTTATTTTAACACTGGCATGTCATTGCTATCACTGCCACTTGTAGCGATAATGGTATTTTGGCTTCTGTGCATTATGCCTGTAGAAATGACAGGCTGTTCATCACTAATTAATAATTCAAAATCAAATTGATCTTAATGCAAAGACATTCGTGTTGCTTTGCAAACTGCTTAACAGAGCAGTTGTTGTCACAGTTTTTCCTGTTCTTTTATACTGCATATTTAGTGGTGAATCACCAGTATTTGGGCAACAATTTGCTGTTGAACATGTTGCATAAAGGAAGACTGAGCTTGTGTGAATTGCACAATCCTCCATTTGGAAACACCTGAAGATTTTATAGATTAAGTGACTTGCACTGTGCCCACGATAAATAATTTGGGCTTCCCACTTTATGCCACACTTCTGAAAACCATTTATTGAATCATATTGAATTGAAGCAGTTAGACAATGTTTGTGTTCAAATGATCTTGCCTACTTGGTAACACTTTTGCTTCTAAGTCACAAGTTTGTGTATTCAAGCCCCTGTTTGAGAATTGAGATCATAGTCTTGGCTGACCCTCCAGTGTAGAACTGAGGTGGTTTGCATTATCAGTTGTGTCAGGTTTAAGATGATATTTTAAACTAATGTTCTGTCTGTCAGTTCTTCAGATGGACATTAAAGATCCCATGACACTATTCAAAAAGAGAAAGATTTTTCTCAGTGTGATAGCCAGCAATCCTCCACATGATAGTGATAGGTGAATCCAAATGGACCAGGATTCTGACCCGTAATGATGAGAATTATGCTGGGTTTATTCTTTGGTTTGGTTTGAGTTAGTCAGTATCATGTTAAGTATGACCTCAATTGATTAGTAAGCGTTTTTTGTCTTGGTGTGAGCATGAGTTAAAACGAGAAAATTGGAAGTGTGAAGAAAAAATAAATAGCAAGTGAAAGCTTCAGCTGAGCATGAAAGACATTTGAAGTTGAGCCCAACATCATTGGAACAATTTGTAATTGCCAAACTATTTCAGACACTTGGGTTACTTGTGGGTTAGTATGATACTGATTTCATGGCTGACATTATAGTTGATGGATAGCATTTCCGCTTTAGTTTCTTCCATTGATATAACTTTACACTTAAGGCTTTTCATTCAGCCTGGAGGTGAAGAGTAGTCTGAGCAAAGACCCATTCCATAACAGCCAGCAAAACAGTTCAGTGATCAATCAATCTGTGTACTTGCTTACCCAAGTGAGAACTAATAAAGCTTACCGGTGATGGTAGGCTCACATTAACACCATACACCAAGGTTGAAACGTATGACTCTTTGTAAATCCAGTACTCTAGCACTTGGACTATTGATGTTAAAAGTAACTGTGGTAGCACATTTACTGCTTTTACTTTTACATTTACTTGAGAAGCAGGGCAGAACTTTCTTATTCTCTTTCCCAAGAAATTGCTTTGGAAGTGAGAAATTATGATAATGTAATGGAAAAGAAAGAGCAAAGATATTCATAAAATGTTTTCAAGATAAATAATCTGATGCCAAGATGCATATATTATATTGAAGTGAAATTAACTTGCAAATACAAATAAAAATAGAAGATGGTGTGGAACTCATGCTAATCTTGTGTGATGGGCAGAAAGGCATGTGTCATGATTTTTAAACGAAAATTGTACATGAAAGTGATCACTGTTAATTTGCCCACAAACCTTACCCTGAAAGCACGAGTTCGATGAAATGAATTTAGAAAGAAAAATGTGTTTTCTCACTTACTATCTTTCATCCCAAATTAAATTTCATTTCAGAGGTAGTTCCCCAACAATTCTTTTTATGATGACCTCTATGTGAACTTGAAGGCAGCTCTTTAATAAATTGACACAAACTGCATGAAAATGAATGGGAGAACATGAACTCAGCCACAGAATGTTCCATGTGCTGAAAATCAATTTAAATGATTATGAGTGGAAAGCCTTTCATCACAATTTTTGCTTATATTAAAAGTTTCAATAAGTTTGCAGGACATCCCTGTTTATGATTGTGATGCAGTAGTCAGTCTATAGTGCAAACAGTTCAGCCTTGTATTTCAATCATTTCTGCTAGAATTGTTTGGTTTCTGATGGCGCAAAGATGACATTGTTATGGAATTTCATGGAGAGTGATCTGAACATGTACTGGAACAGCATCAGTGTTTCAGGAAATATACAGAAGATGTCAGAGCATAAATCATTTTCAGCAGAGAGCAGTAGGCATACACTGCTGTGCAAATTCCATAATTAAAGCTACCACTCCCATGTATACTCATAACTAGAGGTTATCCAGCATTTCAGATGTATCTTCCTTCAGCGACTAAACTAAAAATATTGCATGACACATAAAGGCACATCACAGAATGAAAGTAACCGGTCTCCTGAGACGAGCTACAACATTAAAAAATGGTGCACCCAAGTTATTACACACTTGAGGTGACAATTAATCGGACTATTGATTTAGGTTCCGTGGTTAACAAAAAACAATGTATTGCTCTCCTTATTGCAGTGCGCTTTTCATTTTGTTTCAGTGTTAAATGGTCCTGAATAATTATATTTTACTCTACTCGTGGTTTTCAAGTGATCTCTTTAAATGATCCTTTATTAGATTGTTGTCTTTCATACTGGGGATGACAATGGAATATTCTATGAGGTTCTAGATGCAATATTTTGTGAAATTAGCATTTAAAATGTAAGATTTATTACATAGTAAGATTTATTATTTTCTAAATGCAAACATTGTCCAATGTTTGTGTGCGATTTTGAGTTTAAGTCATTTTTGACTTTGTGTAATACTTTTCTTTTATATGAAAATTAATAAGAAGGCTCAATATTGTCAAAATTGATCTCTAATCCCTCCCCCTGCCCCCGAAGAAATTGGTTTTAGGTATGATATAGTTCCATGAACGCCCAGAGTTTTCCGATTCCTCATTTGAGGCTATCAAATTGATGTTGGATATGTCTGCCTGTTTAGGTGGTCGGAGAAAGATCCCATGAAGCTAATTCAAAAGGAGAATGGAGATTCTCCCAGTTTCCTGGCAAGCAATGCTCCAGGGATCGCTGACATGTTATTCAACTAAATAGGGCATCACAACTGAGAGCCCAATTCTGCTCTCATTGGCATTCCTGAAGCTCAGTGGTTAGAGCACTCGCCTCGCAAGGGAGAGACCTGGGTTCAAATTCCAAGCGGGGTGAAACCTTGGGCAAGTTTCCTTACTCCACACACCTGATAATAATCCCTCAAGAAAAAAAAACAATAATAAATTGGTCACTT